TAAAGGCTAAGTGTTAAGGCATATTTTATAAGTATTTTGACTAGAGCAATGTGGTTATTCCCTACAGTATACAGTCACAAAACTCCCATTAACCTTCCACAGAATCTTGTGTGCTCATCAGAAAAGGAATTGCTCCTTAAAAACTCAGCAAAGATATAGAAATTAAATAATTGCTTAGACAGTTACATTTTTGTTTAAATAGGTTTTGATATCTAACATACTAAACTGACTATATTATGTATGCAACATTTAAAAGCAGTAATTATTCAGTTCTTTGATACCTCTAATAATAATATTTTTTATAAACAAAAGAGCTTGAGACTGGTCTTGATCTATAATTTTTAAAGATTGCAAAATGTAATAAATGTATTTCAAGTGTGAAGTAATGTATTTGTTTATAAAAAGTGCAAAGGAAAAAAAATATGGGGATAGTTGTCATGCCGAACATTTTTATAAATTAACATAAAGTAGTTTGGCTATATATAAATTGTCCAAATGAACTACTTTATTAAAAGTAGTAAAGTTTTATGTGCTACTGCAAATGATTATCTTAAATATTTATAAAATTGTTAAATAAAACAATTAAATTTCAGAATGAATAAATTAATCAAAATTTATCTCATAGATTAGTATGGCATAATAGATATCCAGCAGTTATTAATTATAATTAATTAATACTTTATGAATTAAATACTTTAATAAAGTTATAGGAGCAAAATATTTGAAGGAGAAGACATACTTGTATAATTTTACTCAATAATAAATCATCTCAGACTATTAGGAAGTAAATAAATTGAATTTAGGAACAATCTAAATATATATTTCTATCTGAAACATGCAGTGTGGTGTTCCAGCTTTCCATATTATGGATATTAACACAACAAATTGTAAAGATTACCATTTGTATAAGTTATCCACTGCCAGTCAGAAATGTAGCTGTAGCTGTAGCTTAGGCTGCCACATTTGTTTTATGGTTCATTTTTAGAAATAACAATTCCTTTGTGATTTCTTTGAAACATATTCTTTCATGAAAATGTGCTCAGTTTGACTTCTCCAGAACCAAAAATGACAGACATTTTGACATCCAGATTTTCCTCAGGTGTTTAGGAAACCAAAAGAAGAATGTTAGAAATAAGCAAAGTCTTTACTGTGACTTATTTGGTAAACATTTTGAATTCATTAGGAAAGCCCTAATCCAAAGGACAGAAGCAGCTCTTGATCTGTTCCATTTACATGAGTCCCAAAATATATGCTGTATCTCACATGGTTTAAATAACATTATTTAGGTCTTACCAAATGATTTAGATGATTCCTGATTAAAATGTCATGACATCATGCTGATAATATGAACAGTAAGCTTTCTAGATAACCTTGTGCTGCAAAATCACTGCCAAATATGCACCTGTTCTTTTGGGTTTTCATCTACATTCCATCTTTTGGCATTTTTGACAAACACTGTGACTTTGGATTTTGTATTTATTCAAATACCAGCCCATTCTGTTCTGTATTTAACTATACAACTTGCTATCTTTCTAAACCCTATAGGAGAGCAAGAGATCTGTCTACTTGGATACTAATGAATAACATGGGGATATGACCATCTTAATTTTATCTGATTCAATTATTGAAGTAATTATTAGGGCAGGTGCCATCCATGCTGCATAACTACTTTTATATGTATTAAATTGGCAGTGCAAGGAATGGCGGTGAGACAAGCATTAAATGGTTAACATATTTATTTAAACAAGAACTGGTTACCTGCTATAGCCACAAGCTAATGAGTGTGGCTAGGTGACAGGCAACAGCTGATGCCATCTGACAGCTGCTTTTATACTCAGCTGTCAGACAGACAGCCAATAGGAAATGGTTCCAGCCCCCACTCAAAGTACGGACCGGAGTAAGAACTTCACCGGAACACAATAATATGTATCACTGTAGAAAATAGCCTTTTATGGTTACTCTTATCTTACTTTCATAAAATTTGATATGCAAATTTTAGAACAGATAAAGAAATTCCCTATTGATAATAGTAATGCTGAGCTGATCCTGAAAAATCTTTCTAGTTGTAAATAGCAGATTTAAAGTCCAGAAATCATACACATAAAGGTGATTTTGGGAAATTGCTTCCAAATAACATAATGTTAGAGTACAATGTATAGCAATAGCACATTGACTTATATACTGCTTCATAGTGCTCTACAGCACTCTTTAAGTTGTGTACAGAGTCAGCATATTTTCCCCAGCAATCTGGTCCTCATTTTACCTACCTTGGAAGGATGGAAGGCTGAGTCAACCTTGAGCTGCTGAGATTTGAACTCCTGGCAGTGAGCTGAATTAGCCTAAAATACCGCATTCTAACCACAGTACCTAAATGGTTTACAGTTGACTGATTTTGATTAAAGACAACTCATTCATCTTGTTCATTTTTTTCTAATTTTATCCAGAACTGAAGCGTGTTAATTATATTTTTGCATATAATTTATTGCTATGCCACAAATGTATATGTATCTATATTATTTATTATCTTTGATTTATTGTATAAAACTATGCATAGTTTTATTTAGCTTCAATATTTAATAATCTGAAATAAATATGTTACAGATGGTGCTAGGAAGATTATTTTTGACTGTTTGAACAAATGGCTAAAGTTTGTCCACATGTCAGATGTGCTTGCCTAGTTTATATTACAGAAGTGAAAGATGATTGGTACATAAAGTTGTTTTATATTAAAACCTGATGGCTGTACATTTAGACAAAAAGAAAAAGAAATATTTACTCCAAGAGTGACTTTGTATATTGTATATTAAATAAAAGTTATCCCAGGAACTGACAATGGTAAGATATTACTAAAAATGTGTAGCAAAGAAGTAGCACATAGACATTATGCATTAATGGATCAATCTCCTGCTATTATTTTAATTATATTAGGTTTTAAAAAATATTGTATGGCTACTAGGTTTTTTTGTCAATATGCTCCTAAACTGAACAGCTACATTATGCTATTTTGTACTATGTATTAATACTAAAATTTAGTATATGGAACAGTGTGAGTCTGAAACCATGCTCTATTTCAAATGTTTCTGTTTTCTGTTATGATTCTACATCATAAGATAATACATCCATATCCTTTTTATGACCAGCTATACACTCTGTGCACAATAATTAGGCAAGTTGTATTTTGGAGGATTAATCTCATTATTGAACAGCTACAGTGCTCTCAGTCAATCCAAAATGTTAATATACCTCAAACCTGAACATTTAAGAAAGTAAAAGTGAGGTTTGGGCTTTCTTAGGAGAATATGTGTGCACAATTATTGGGAAATTATTAGTGTGCAGTATTATTATGCAACTAAATGAAAAGTGAAAATTTGTCCATCTCTTTTATTTACATCTGTCAAATGCCTCTGTTTGTTTAACTGATTTGCATCTCTTAAACAAACAATTAAAAATGTACAAATAAACATTTCTGACATTTCACAAAAAAAGCCACCCTTCTTTTCAGTAACAGCGATAACATTCAGAGAGTCTGTCAGTTTCTTGATCTGTTGACAATCAACTTTTTGTGCAGCAAATAACCACAGCCTCACAGACACTATTCAGAGAGTTGTACTGTTTTCCTTCATTGTAAATCTTCCGTTTAAGAAGGACTTACAAGTTCTCAATAGGGTGTAGGTCAGGTGAGGGAGGAAGCCATGTCCTTATTCTTTCATCTTTACTGGCTAGCTACATAATGGAGTACTTTGATGGATGCAATGAAGCATTGTCCTGCATAAAAATGGTCTTGAAAGATGCAGACTTTTTCCTGTACCCCTACTTTCCTATATTCATCATCATCTTTTAAGGGCCCATAATCCCTTGTGAGGTGAAGTCTGGGCAACCGAATGGAGCTGTGTGATTACTGGCTGGGTGCCCTTCTTGTCGCCAATGCGGAGTTATATTCAGCAGATATATTCTTATTGTGCCCAGAAAGAGAAACATCTGCCTTTACCTAGAATCAAATTCATAGCCTCCTGATTTTGAGACAAGAGCTCCACCACTACTTTCCTATATTGGTGAATAGACTACATTGTTAAAGTCTTGAAATGATGATAGATGATCCTACAGTGTTTTTCAAAAATAGAAAAAATAATAGTAAGGATGGATATATAGCCGAAAGCCAAAACAATTGTTAAGAATTATTGCTATCATAAGACAAAAAAACCTGGAAAGAGTGATAGTATAGTAGGAATAAATACTACAACAATATAGGGGGAAAAGTGATTTGGAACACAAGTGAGCATCTATATTTTACTGCCTAGAAATGTCTTATATCAAATGCATGAATTACATTATCAAGTACAGTGTATCTTTCAGAAGTTGATGCTGTGTGAGGATCTAAAAATACTCTCCTTTCCTCTTCAAATATTTCTCACTGCTAATCCTAGTATCATAAATAGTTAAATCGTTTCTCACTGTAAAAATCTTGTGCTGATAACTTCAAGGTCCTATTTTGAATACCCTGAAATGTATAAGAATTAATCACTGTTTCAAACAAACTGCGTCAACAAACATCTCCTAAATGGCCTCAGAAGTTTCATTGGAATTGGATAAACCTTCCATAGAATGGTAGGCTATAGAGAGGAAAGGAAATCATTTCTGTCCTCTACCATTTATTTGATTTAATATTTGAAATGACTAATTAAAATTATTGACAGATAATAAAGTAATGAAAATATGTGACAGTCAACATACTTGTTGAGCAAGATGGGTGGTTCAAAAATGTGAAATATAAATAAATATGTATACATTGCATTTTAACATTGTATGTTATTTTTCTTAATTCTTGTGGGTTAAGCACAAGAAAGCAGAAATGCACTAAAGAATGACAAAATTTGTAGATCAAGCTTACTATTTCTCTAGCTGAAATGTATACATTCTAAACAATATTGATATTTTCATGAATCTGAAACCTTCTGAATTCAATAAAAACTTATCTGTTCATTTTAATATTTTGTTCACAGATAGTTTACTGATTGACTACCAGTTTACCTTCAGTCTGTTACAAGAAGATGATCGTCATCACACCGCCATAAACTTCATTGCAAATCCTGAACAGGTAAGTTGATATAAATGAGAACCTGTGTTATAATTTTCTATTTTAGTTTTATATGTAACTCTTTCTAAACAAATCTCTTAGAAAAACAGAATGGAACCAAATAGAAATGTGATAGGTAACTTCAAGACAACCAGGAACTGGTGATGTAACTGTTAGCTTTGCAAAGCTTATTACTGAAGCTGAGGGGAAAAAATGGCTGTTCTTCTCATATCAATACTCTTGTTCTTACAATTCTCAAATAGTAAGCTAGTTTGTTATCCCTCATTTCATTTCTTCATTATTCAGTGTCACTAATTTGGTCTATGGAGCATATGGTTAGTATTAACTAATCAAACTGCTTCTGTGAGGTATAATAATCTTGCTCTGGAAGCAGTCACATAAACATATAAGGATAAATGATGTAGGTTATGAAAAAAGAACACATAAATCTGTAATATTGTTAAATTTTAGATTAAAAAAAACCTTTTGTAGACTTGATATTAGTGGCTGAGTCTTTATTTCTTAGACTTTTGTAGGATTAAGGAGTATTCTACTTTATTATTTTTGAAATTAAACTCATTTACTTAACAATACTTTAATACTACCTCCTGTTGAGGAAGCAAAAATCTGTTGTAATTATTGGACATCATTTCTTGAAGTTTAAGGATTTAGAGATGCAGTATTAAACACTTCTAAAAAAATTCAAACATAAGCTATACTTCTTCAAAGGTATACATAAAGCATATTTGAAGCAAATTAAGTATATAATTCATCTTACAAAATAACAAAATGACTGCATAATGCTAAAACATGAAAAAATATTACCTTTAATCCATTTTTTTTTTTAAAAAAAAAATCTCCTTTTTTTCTACTAATCTTTTGGATTTTGGAAAATTTTAGTTTTCTACTAGTAGCTGTATTTAATAGTTCTCTTTACCTAGAGATCCTTTCTGTTGATATCTATAGGAATGGGAAGGGTGCCTTGCATTTCCTGAATCAAATCCAGGGTGTTTAGGGTTAATATCTATGTTTTATTACTTATGAACTATAAGCTCTTTATAATGTAATGTTTATGTTTTATTTTTAAATTTTTAGTCAAACAAAAATTTGGACATATCAATTAATGCATCAAATAACTTTAACCTGAATATCACATGGTCCATTGGCTCTACTGGTAAGAAAGACATTATGACTAGTTTCCCTTTTTAATATTATCACACGTAGTAATGTGCTCATTATATTTACATGATTGCTTTTTGTTTCTTATTAGTAAATGTTAATAAAATACATTCTTTTCCCATTCTCATTATGACATTATTAATGACATTACTTAAAATAGATAATTTGCAAATTAAATTAAGGTTTATTAACATGTTAACTTTCTTATTCAATTAAAATTACTTGAGTAACAAAACCTTGTATGCTCTTTAAAATTTTATAGTGGCAGTGTTATGAACAGAGTGATTTTAATTAAGATAAATTACTTCCTTGACTACAGCAGAGACTGAGTTTTTAATTTCTTTGTTTCAGTGTTGAAACTTGGAATTTAATTATAAACCTTAACATTGATATCAAACAAGAAAAATTTTCTGTGTATTCTCATAAAAGAATCTGCTTATTATCTGTTCCTTCTCCCGCACTCAAACTTTTGGATCCAGTTTTTTTCATTGGTTTTTCATTGGTTTTTAATAAAAAGCTTTGTTTAGAAAGTTTCCTTGTATTTGTTCTGTTGACTTCAGAAAATATATTCAAGCAGAGCATCCTTGATTGAATTTTAATGAATTATGCAGAATGAAAATGGAAGCTTTGCAATTATATATTTGCATGTATGTTTTCAATATTTGTAAATATATTTGAGGAAGAGCACAATATCTGGAAAGGAATCATGACTAACATATTCCATAGTGCCAATCTTCCCAGAATAAATTCCATGTCTATGTTATTTATAGGTCAGGTCTCAATCTTTTAAATGCTGGACTTTACAAGAATATCTGAGGTCTATGAAATGGTTAAATATCATTACAATCATGCTGTAATTAATGGCTGATATTCCATCAATCCCATGTATTGAATGGAGGTTGAATACACCTCTGTTATGTTGAAGACATCTGTGTTGTGCTGGATATTCATAATGCCAATCAATTTTAGCAGAATCCAGTAAAATCAAAGCTGATAAAAATAATTCAAAAAAGGGCAAAGAGACTATTCTTCAGTAAGTTTACCAAAGTATACCTTTTCGATAAGCTCGTTACAATGCTTTTTTCCCCCCGATAAAAAACAATACAAAAATTTCATTTCTGCATAGTATTGGCATCGAATTATGATTTCTAAAGAACCAAGTTATGCCTGTAGTTTAAATATTTAGAATGTAGACATAAATATAAAACAATGTAGTGTTTGTTTTGCAAATATTAATACCCAAAAAGCATATGCTACTCTTATCTCAAATTTTAAAGAAAGATCCTTCGTAGAATATTACACTTAACTGCATTTAATATGAAACTAGGAATTTGATAAATATTGAATGTTTCCCAATCTCATATCTGGCTGACACCACAGGATGGATAAGCCCTTCTACAAAAAACTTTCCTTCAGTAGGTCACTAATTGAAACCCATTTCTATTCAATCCCCTACATTGCCTTTCCTGTTACAGACAGACAGACAGACAGACAGACAGACAGTGTGTGTGTGTATGTATATATGTATCTATGTGTATATGTATGCATATATATATATATATATATATATGTGTGTGTGTGTGTATGTACACACACACACACACACACACACATGCTGAATAATCTCATTTCTTGTAAATGAAAAAAGTTTATCTGGTTTGATATTATCTTTGTTAGCAATAGTTGAAAAACTACAGCAATATTTCACAGTCAAGACAATTCTATACTTGAATAACTTTGCAGTTTTAGTATAAATTACTATGTATAAATTACTTTTGGAAACTGTATTAACCATGAAGTTAAATGAAACAAAGTTGCTATAAATACAATTCTATTATGTATGGTTGAAACAAACTTTTAATAGGATGTATATATACATTCACATACTGACAGATATTTTTTATTTGTGTAATTGCTTCATTTTTATAATTTAGCTATGTTTCTCTATTATGCTCCATTAACACATTTAATATCAATCAAATTATACTTTTTGCATTTTTCTTTCACACATATATAATATGCACCCTTTGGATTATGTAACTTAACAATTGTTTAAATGGTAAAAACTATTTCATTGACTGTATATATTTTTAATAGCTGGAACAATATCTGGAGAAGAGATTTCTGTAGTTTCGAAGACTAATATCAAGGAATACAGGGACAGTTTTTCCTGTGAAAAATTCAATTTCAGAAGCAACCCAAATATCACTTTCTACGTATATGTCAGCAACTTTTCATGGCCAATCAAAATACAGGTTAGTATAAACAAGTTATAGTGTTTTTTCCAGACCATAAAATATGCACATCTGAATGCAGAATATGGAGTGATATCTTGGATTATGAATTATTGGACATATTCCTCTTACCGTGTGTGTGTGTATTACTATCCTTTTAAAAAAAGCATTCCCAGCTTTTCTGAAATTGTACCATTTATTTATTTATTTATTTTATATTGCTGCCTATTCGCCCATGGTGACACAAGCTGCTTACATCATGCAAAACTATATTTAAAAAAAAAACAATAAAAACTAACAAAGAGAATCAAGTAAATTAGTAAAGTACAATAGAACAAAATTTGGAAAAAATTAATATATATATATATATATATATTTATTTATTTTCAAATATAAAATAAAGATCTAGCTTTATTATTTTGTGAAGATGCAAATCTACAAGCTAGGATACTTTTGAGGACCACCGCCGATGAGCTATGTGATAACACAGTGATTTGATTCTATAGAAAAAAGAAAAAAAATGCAGAATTTGATAAGCATATATTAATTGCTTGACCTGTCACAAAAAGCCCTAGTTTATACCTTGCTTCTTAAAGGCATCTCTGAAAAGCACATAATATTTCAGGGTTTCTTTTAATATTAGATTGGTATCCTACCTTTTCTACAGGACATCAGGGTGGTATATGTAATCCTCTCTCATCCATTTTCCTTCATTTAAACAAGTTTTGAGATTAATTTATTAAGTATGAGTGGAAGGTTTAAAGTCACCCCTGAACTTCTTTGATTTAGAATAAAGTTGAACCTGAGTCTCTTCTGTCCTAGTCTATATATAATTTCAACTATTTCAGAAAAAAGAATACTATGGATTTCATCTATGGATGCATGGATCAATGTTTATTTATTTATGGTACTGTCATATATATACAACTTTTCATTCTATAAAGTTGCATTTATCTTCCAGTTTTAAAAGTACTGCTTCGTTTTATATAAATATTTCTCTAATATGCTATTCATAGATAAACTTTTCAATATGTCCATGTTTGCATATTTTGGTAAATAACTTAAGTATGTGAAGTTTTTGATTGAGAACTATTTTAACAGCCATAGTAATAGATTTCATTATTATATACACATAGTTTCTGTGAGAAAAAAAAAGTTTACTTAAACACAGCCCAGAAAATAAATTTGGGATAAATGGCTTTCATGGCTCTAATTTCATCTAAAATCATGCAATCAGAAACCTTCATTTCACAGTGGTAACCAAATTTTTGGAATACTCTGATGAACAAATAGGCAGCAATTTTCTTTATACCTTTCTTTATCACATAATTTTGGAGGGTTCTTTAACTTTCTGGACAAAGATTTTTAGAAGAGAGAGTATGGATAAAAAGCAGAATTTCAGAATGTTCCCGACAATTTATTTAAGAAATGAGCGGCCCTCTGCCACCTCCCAAAGCATATTCTTGTTCCTAGCTGATTCACATGTATTTGGCTTTTCTACTTCTGTCTGCGGAACAATATTGATTCTTGAATCAAGATGGCAAAATAATATCATTGAAAAAGTGTAAGAAACAGCAACATAAATTAATCAGTCTGAGAATCTTTAAAACATTTTTAATAGAAAAGCTTTCTTACTCTCTTCTGCAATTTACACTACATCAAGTATGGTTAACAGAATGATCTTAGCATTTTAATAATAATAATAATAATAATAATAATAATAATAATAATAATAATAACAACAACAACAACAACAACAACAACAACAACACTTAATAACACCCTTAAGAATAAATGCATACACAGCCAGAATTGAGAAGACAATAGTTAGCTTCTTCAAGAAGATCACACAGAATGACTACAAACAATAGCATGACAAAGTACCAACAATTTACAATGGAATATCTGAAAGAAATCCATTTGCCTGCAAGCAAGAATGGATGAGATCACAAATAGATAAAGGTCTGGATAATGGATGTACAACTACCTGGAGACATTAGAAATGAATGGAAAGATCTGGAAAAAGTAAAAATTATAAAGATTTGCAAGTATAAGTAGAACAGCTCTGGCAAAATAAGAAAAGATAGTACCAATCACAAAGAGAGTACCAACCAATAGACATCATGGGTACAATCTCAAAACAACTGGACTGCAACAATACATTTAAAACCATCAAACAATAACATCTGCCTATGCTAGGTTCTTGGGAAGCTTGATAGATGGTTGAAAATGCCAAATCCAGTCTAAACATCTGGTATGCAACCAACCATAATGTATTAAACTTTTATGCTGTCTGATTTTCAATGACTCTGAGCTGTTCACAACAATCAAATGCAGAAATTAAAATAAAATCAATAAAACATAAAAAGACAAAGACAAAAGATAACGAGTATAAAGAAGTGAGGGATCTCAAGCTGATAAATGCTATCAGCTTATATGTTCTGATAAATTTAGGACGTTCATAGTTACATTTTTCTTCAAGGATATACAGTGTCAGTAGGTAGAATTATCTGATCATTCAATCTTATTTATGTTTTGAATGAATTAGATGTCATCTTTGTTTATGTTATGCTTTGCAAAGCTTTTGATTGAAAGGAATGTGTTGCAATGTACAGAAGTGTGTATAAAACATTTCTTTCAAAATTGTTCAAGCAACTCTTTTATTTGCAAAGCTTCCACAATTACATGTGCAGCCACTTTGCTAGAATGATATTGAAGTGAAGTTCCTGTGTATTGCATACATGCAGCCACAGCGGAGAACAATTTTTGCAGCAACTGTGCAAGAACAGGGTCTCAGGTATGCACACACAAGAGACTGTACATAAATCGTGTTTCTCACAGCAATTTAAATGATGTGAAACAATATTGATTTAATGCTCAATCTTTTAAAGGTTCTACACCCCATAACGATTTTGGTGGCAGTTTGTCAATGATAAAGACTACATTTTTAAAATATATTGATCATACACTAGAATGTTAAGGCAGGTTACTTTCATTTTCTAAAACTACTTTGAATATATTATTCTGATAACTGAAACATCTATTTTTCTTCAAAGAAATATCAAACATAGTTAGAAGAGCAACATTCTAAAGCAGGCACCATTAAACATGGGCTGGGGTGGGGGAGGCACTGTAATGAAAATTAAGATTAAATCTAGTTTTTTTAAAAAGCAGCTGAAAAGTCATCAGATTGCCAATCAACATTCTTGATCAAAATCATTGAAGTACGTTTTCAGGCAAGAAAGAAGCAATGAAATCTCATGACATTTGGAAATATCATGAGATTTCTGTCATTTTTTAAAAAAGTAATATTTATTTAGTTTACAATTGCATATATATCATCTGTGAGTAACATGTCTCACAGGAGTTACACAAAACTTTTGCACTGAGTCAACATGATTACTTTAGCTATTACTTGAGAGCATACCATCGAAGTAGAGGATAATTTTAAATGAATCGAATTAAATTCAATACAATTCTAAATATAGGAGAATATATTTCAAATTATTGAAATGTAAAGTTGGAATTACTAATTTTTTACAAGCAAGAAAGACATCACATAATCTATAATATAATATATTCCCATCTGAAGCTTCCATCGAATGTATCATATTTTATAGTAATAGTTACAATGTAAACTCACAAGGGGCCTGGTGGTGCAGAGGTTATAATGCAGTATTGTAGGCTAACTCTGCCAATAGGCTGAAATTAGATTCTAGCAGGCTCATGGTTGACACAGACTTCCATCATTATTTGGTTAGTAAAATGATTGGACCCAGATTGTTGGGGGTAATATGCTGACATTGTAAACCACCCAGAGAGTGCTGTAAAGCACTATGGGATGGTGAATAAGTCTAAGTGCTACTACTACTGCTATTAATAGAGAGTCTGACTTTGCATCTCCACCCTTAAATTATATTGAACTAGATAACAAAAAAAAAATATTGTCACTTAACAAATGTTGGTATTTGCATTTGCAAATTTTGTTTTCTGGTTGATTGGTTTGTTGCTATGTTTAATATAGTGAAGTTACAAGATATTAGAATGCAGTAGAAACGTATATTGTGGACCTTTTGATTTTTTTTTAACCTTTTACTTTCCCGATTTTAATTCAGAAAAATGAAATTGCCTGTTAAGGACACATCTGTAACATATTTCACAATACAATATAAACTGCTAAAACTATCCTGAACTTTGAATAAAAAAATCATAAAAATACAACATTGTATATAAAACATCTTAGAATGCTATTGGACGATTCCCATAGTAAAATTAGGCACATTTATGAAATATAGGATCCAGGGTAATATATTATAGTACAAACATGCTAGAAATTATATCTTAATTCTAGTTTTCCTGATGATGATCCTTAAGGATAATTTTATAAAACTATTCATTTTTCAGCTTATTGAAAATACAGCCCTATTATTACAGACCTAGTGAAAGATTTGCTATGGTATTAGACTGAAAATAGTTATGAACAGCGCTTGATTTTTTTCTTGACCTTAACGAGTTATATATTAAGCAGTGTAGAAGTAGTTAATTTTTTGTCCATCAATGGAAATAGAATTTTCCCTCAGTTCTTACTTTTAGTATATCTATTAGGAAAGAGGGTAAAATACTACTTAAGGCACACTGTGCCTGGAATAACTTTCCTAAGCTGATTAAGCACTTTTTGTAAAATGATTACACTGATTTTTGTAACCTAATAAAAGTTCATTTATATTCGTAGGCATTCGCTTAAAGAAACTCTTACCCTTGTATGGAAAATGTATCTTTAGAATTGTGTTTGGCTTTTCCAGGGAGCTAGTGGGGAGGAATAAAAAATCAATTGAAGTAGTACTGCTTGCAAAGCAATCAATTTGCTTCTATTATGAGTTGAAGAGGTATCCTGAAGGTTTGAAGGAGATATCTGCTGTGTCTGCAGCTATTTTTTATGTAATATGGAGAACAAGTTGCATTTTCATTCTTTCTTTAACTTTTTGTGATGGTCCATATGAGTTTATTAGAGACTTCTTGTT